TAGGTTTTACTCTTCCCTTAGGCTGTCCTGTAGTGCATTCTGAAATTGTTTAATTTTTTTCTTTTCTGTCCGTCTGAGTTCTGACCAGATTTTATTACATTTCCCAAATCCCAAGAAATTCTGTCTTTTATCTAGCTCTTTAGACAAGACTTACAGCAAAAGCTGCTCTGAAATTTCACAGTTCAAAAGGAAAAATAGTATGAAAATCTACTCTAAACAATTCATTCAGCAGCAAAAGAAATGCTGTGGAAGATTGTTACAGTAACTGTTTCTTGTGCAGATGACCTTATGGTATAGCATAAAACTAATTAATTTAATGTTTTTCCAGACAAACAGGAACATGAAGCATTGAACCAGGCCAAGGACATTGATTACAATTTAGATGAGAATGAAGCTGAATCAGAAACGGACAAGCAAGCAGCACTTGCAGAGATTGAAAATGGTAAAAAAAGAGAAAGGAAAAAAAAAAGTTTTAAGCCAAGTACCATGTGCTGAAAATTTTAAGATGATATTGTGAATGGTAACCTGTTGCAGATATAGGTAGCTAATTTATTTTTGTTCTTTGAGATTTCCCTCATGTTGATAGTGACTTATTTTCTGTGTAGCATCACTGAAACTACTATTTAACGTGGGGTGGGGACAGTATCTGTAGCTTTACTATACTATACAGTACTTAACAGTCCTTTCAGAATTTCTCCTGCTGTGTTCTAGATTTGTTTTTCTAGATGAAGAACTATCAGTTCTGCCTCTTAAAGATATTTCTGTACTTCCTTCTTTTTTCCTAATTAGTTCAAAACCCTGAAGATAAGAAGAACCACTTACTTGAGCAAGGTGAAGAATGACAGAGATTGTGAACAAAGGAGGTTCGTGATGCAACTTAGTCACCTCTTCATATAAATGCAGCAATGATGAGAGCAAAGTGATCTGAGAATGTTTTGATTATTTTCTCAAGGCTTCAGAAAGGCCCAAATGAAGAAATATTTCCTTGTGAAGTTTTAGTGCTGTTTCAGTAGTGAAAAAAATAATCTTAGATCTCTGGAGGCTTGTTTAAAAGCAGCGTGGCCTCTGTAATGACTCTTTCCTTCCTACCAGTTGTAAAATTGAAACCAGAAGTGTAGTAACTTGTACAGTCATATTGCAATAACAGTGTGTGTGGATTGGTGGTAGATGAGAAAGAGTCCTCTGCCAAGGATGGATCTCTCCACTAAGCATAACAGTAGAGAAATCCCCAGCCCCCCAGCCTAGTTTTAAGAGGAGCAACTTACCTTCACAAAACACGGAAAGGATGAAAAGTGGCCGACATGCTGCAGTCTACCCCTCTGCCTACTTGGGCACCTTTTTACTACAACGTAGCTAAGACTTGGAAAGCGTGATGATAGACCTCAAATGTTACACGCTAGGATAGATTTTCCTGGGCCTTCTAAATGAAACAACCAGGCTGAAACACTGTCCTGGTTGTGTTCTTAGCTTTGAGCGTTGTGGGTGGTTTTTGGGTTTTTTTTGGTTTGTTTTTTTTTTGTTTTTTTTTAAAGAAAAGGTTTCTGACAGTTGCGTCTTCTCATTGAGATGTTAGCAGGAAGATTTTTCCCAAAGCTTTGTTGGACTCCTGTTCACAAGATCAGTACTACGGTGTGGCTGTTACCACTAACTTGCACAAGTTGAGTGTAACAATTCAAATGTACTCCTGAACTTTTAATGACGGAAGCCATCTGAAATGGTGGGCTACAACTACCCATTACTCCACCCAGCCACTGTCTCCTGCTAAAAAGTATAAAGGCAAACGCTTGCCTTGTAGAACAGCACTCCTCTTGGTATTCAACGGGACGAATCTTCCCTGACGGACTTCTGAAGAAGGTAGACCAGCCTATGCATTTACCAGACATCTCCATGTCTCCCGCAGATGAAGCTGTAGTTGTTGTGAAGTCCTATGTTATGCACAATGTATCATGTTTCTAATGTTCTGTAGTCTGTCTTTTCTGTAACTTGTTGAATGTAAACTAGAAACTAGTTTACTTGCAATAACCTAGAAATACCCTCCACCACCACTAAGGCACCCTTAACTGCAGGCCAACCTCCATTGTGTGTAGCCAGCTGTTTTGACGATTCTCTTTGTGCCTGTTCTCAAAACTGACACCTGTGTTTGGAGCAAGCTTTGTATGAACCAATTTCTGTCCACATACCATGGGAGCAGACAGATATGACTACTTCCCAACCAGCAGTTCCATTTAAGAAAATACAAACTTGCCTTGGCTTTCTTTTAATGCAATTAGTTTTGTATCTACTTCCGTGGTGTGTCAGTCATCCAGGTTCTAGCTTACAACTCCTGTACATCAAGATGTCTAAATAAGCAAGTGGAAGGTTGATTCTTTTGTCTATGAAAAGAATATTAGTTGTCATCTAGTGAAAGGCAGAGCCCAAGTCAAATGGTGCCTATTAAGCCTAAATACGTAAACAGTTCACTGATAGACTTGCCGTGTGTAACTTGAATTACGCTAAGAAAAGCACTAACTTCCATTATTGAGTTCTCAGTTACTCTGTTTTTTTTACCATTTAGATCAGACTTAACTGGTCTGGACTGCTACAGTCAACATAGCAGGGAAAACAAATAAGCAGGAGAGAAAAGCATGACAAGTACTGGGAAACTTGGGCTATTAAGTTATTTTTTTCCAAATAAGGGGATGTTTTAACATCAAAATGTTTACACCTATTCTGAGTAAAAGGGGCATTTTCTTAGGACTTAATCTGTGAACAATTACATATCTGAGATTAAGTTAATCAGGAATTTAATAGTGAGTGTTATATTAAAAAGCATGTATTCTAACAGTATAAAATGTACAGCGAACACTGTGTTCAAGTTGAATGAATGGCTTTAACTTGAAACTGGTGAAATCCCAAACAAACAAACAAAATCCTTAAGGTAATTAATATACTGACCAAGAATTCTTTTAAAACCAATTGTTTTGGCTGTATCTCTGTACAGTACCTAAACCTAACTGGGCTTCTCGCTAGCCAAACAGATGTTGTCCTCTCCATAAACAAGTCCACCTTTGTACAAAGCACATTTGTTACACCTCTGACAGGAGGGGGTCTGAAAATCTGCCTAAGAGCAATGTTCTAAAGCATAAAGGAATATAATCTTATACTTAATGGCTTTAAGTGCCACAGGAATGTAACTAGGGTGGTAGATTTCTAGCAGTCAATGTCTAATACATAGAATTTTAAAAAGAAAGGACTTACAGTTGAACAAAACAAGATTCATTTGGAACTGTGGTTTACATAGTGTTGTCCATCACTAAAATTTTTAGTTGCAAGAGGCAGGGAAAGCTTCCTTGCTGTAATCATCTTGGGGTTAAATTAACACTTGTCCTTGATGTTTTTTTTTTAAATAAACTAAGCCTGATCCATTTTAGGTAGGCATTTTAAAATAAAAATAATCTTCTCTACTGTGTAATCATCTTATTCTGTATAGTTTGTCTACTTCTAATGCTAATGAAAATGGGAAAGATGATCATTCCTCTTTTCTCAGTTTTATAAATTATATGGAACTTGGCTTCTTTTACTTGCTGCTTCCTTTGGGGAAATACTGAAGGCTGTCCTGGAGCTGCTGTCACATAGTTCAAGATTTTTAAGACAGGAAAGATTTTTGTGAGTGTTTACAAGGCAACAAAAGGCAGGTCATTTCTCAGTGCCCTGCACTAGAACCAGTTTCCTATCTTTACAACTACATTTTCCACGATTTTTGTTCCTTTGGTAACAATACAGAAGCATTCAAGTATATAAATCTTGATCATAAGCAAACATGTAAACTGGTATGCAGCCTCCTTAGCAGAGAAATCAGGAAAAGCCTGTCTTCAGGGCAGTACTCCTGCTTATTTCAAGAAGCTGCAAATTGCTGCCCAACAAGTGGGTGTTCCATTCCAGAGTTTCTTCATTGTTTTCTGGCTCTAGCTCAGCCATGCTGCTGGCTTAGGCAATGGAACTGAAGTGGTATTACTCCACAATACAACTGTATGTTAGGAGAAACACAAACAAGTGTCTTTCATGGTCAGGAAGGAGTTATGAACTCAGGACTATGGAGGAAACCATTCTGCACCAAAATTAAGAACTGCCCTGTTCAACAGAGTCCTGGAGGATTTGCTTTTATGGTCCAGGTGAGACTTGGCGTGGTTTATCAAAGTGCAAGTCAGCTTTTTTATCTTTTTTTCCCCCTCTTGTAGCAGAAGGTTGCTCAACACAACAGCTTACCTCTGTTATTTCACATCTGGAAGCACAGGAGGAAGAACTGTTCCAGGAAGGAAAGGGTAGGTTTGGGGCTTCTGCTTGGGATTTCTACCTGTATGAACCACTACAGAAGGCAGTAGGATGCAGCAGCAGCAGCACTGCTGTCAAAACCAGAGAGAATGAAGGTCACGCAAGAGCTGGCCGAGCAGTGGAACAAATCTGCAGTCCCTCCTTTGCGATGGCACAGTAACAACAGGATTGAAGTTGCAGGGTAGTTAAAATATACTCCGAGTGTCTTGTGTTCCTGTGTTGCTGGTGGCTATTGCACTGTCAGTTACACAGATTCTCCAGCAGCATAAAGACAAAGGAACAAACTGCAATGAGAAATAACTTACTACATTTCTCACTGTCTTCAAGGACTTCATTTGAGACAGAATACCTCCTAGACAACTTACTGCAGTAAAATAAAAATCACTGAATTCAGAGCAGTAGGAGCTAAATGACTAGTTTTCACCTGCTCAGTTTCTATAAAGATTGTTTTAGCATGCAGGACTTGGCAATAGAAGAACCCAGTCTTAAGTGAGCAAATTTGATGAAATGTAGGCAAAAATATGGAAGCTCACAATCTCTCCAAGTGGCTTTGTTCAGAGCTTTGTTCAGTAATCCAGCTGTGCCTATCAGACATGATGCTCTACTGCATCATTTTTACTTGGTCCCAAATGTTATAAAATCCTCAAACCACAATTTTCTGTGAGAGCTCATTCAGAAAAAAGATTTAGGATTAAATCTTTAATAAAATCAATTAAGGTACAACATTCTCCAACAATACAGTTGATTAAAATCAGCTTCACCCATAAAACTTTATATAGACCACTTCAAAACAGTAGCTGTCATTCAGATAACGTAAAAAAAGTCAGACTACAGATATTCCATGTAACAGTACTTTTATCCTGGAGATCCCTCTCACAGTCTGGGTGCAGACTAGATATTCCATCTTACAGCAGGTATCTGATACACAGACTATGTTTCAGGTATCCTAACAATAATCTCTTGTTTTTCAAACAAGCTTCACAACTGGAAAGTATTTATGAGGGGAGAAGTCAAATTCTGGAGGAACCTGGAAACAAAAGATGTAAAATATTACACAGTAGTACTATTGAATTTAATACTCAAAATGAGGGATACTGTGCAGATAGAAGAAAAAACTAAACAGCAAAAGATTGAAAAAAAAATAATCCTAACTCTAATATCTGAAAAATACTCCATCGCAGTGCTGGCTGTGGGTAGCGATGGGCACAAAGCTGTAGGGTGCTGGTGTGCCTGTTCAGCGCGCTCTGCCACTCTTCTGAGCCTCGCCTTTGGCAGGCAGTCGGAAGGCCCTCTCCTCCCTCTGACCCACCCGGCACCTGCTAGTCCTGGCAGCCAGCACTCTCCTGACCATGTTCACACCATCTGCTGATGCACTGCTACCAGTTACTTCTTCCTGCTTGTGCAGAACACTCATATTTGTACATGTCACCACACATACAGTCCCCAGTTTTTTGAAAATGTTTAGAAATGAGTTTTCTGTATTTAAATAACAAACTATTTCCAGGGAAAAACTGGATGCAGTTACTTTCACAAGTTTTTTTTACTGTTTGAGTACCTATGGCCTGAATCAGCTTATTCACCTGTAAGACATCTGTGGCAGCACTGTGTATAATACTACATTCCACATTAAATTCAACTGGCATTTTCTTACCTTAGAGTCTTTTTTGTGGCCTCCTGCCAGCAGCTTCATGACCACAATATTGGGTTTAGCAACTTTCAGAATTCGGTTGACCTAAACACAAGACAGCAAGAAGTTTTCAAGTAAAACCGTATGACCTCAAAATTATTTCAAAGCTAATACTCAAACGTTTACATACAGCAGTAACAACACAGCAGTCCTCTTACAATATCAGTTTAACAGGAATCAGTGTGTTTTGTATTTGAAGTATAACAGCTGGAATAATGAATTTTAATTTCATTTATTTTAATAGTCACTTTTTTTAACCAACAGACCATAGAAAGCACTCCTCTCCATGCTTATGTTCAAAATCTGTTAAGCTAAGCCAAGTTCTGAGGCACTCATCCAAAAAAAGGTTTAGACAGACTCTAGGCATCTACCCCTGACAGTGTGATCCAGACACGAGTAGGAGAAACTCAAGTACCAAACTGGTGGCTTTTTTCATGGAAGTGTTCTGGGCATGCTCAAACAAACCACCTCGTAACTACTGTTTTAGCCTCGATCAGATAGCTCATGTGCCAGTACCACATGAGCTATCAGAGGATAGATAGATACAGGATACAGAGAACAGGCAGGGATCCTAAATTCTCAGGAGAAACTAATCCCCCATAACTGTTCTTAACCTGCTCAGATGCGATAGAATAAACATCCTCCTTGCTCCAAAATACAGTCACAGACACTTAGTTTTTAGGCTGTGGACAGAAGGAGAAATTCTTACCCGTGTTTATAGCATGGTGCTGAGAAAACTATTCCAGGAAATAGTTGCCAGACTCTTTTCAGCTTAATGACATTAAAAACTATTTTCCCCATCTCTCAGCAGTATGTGTGACCTACCAGGTTCCAGGTAAGTGACGCAGGCACGTGTCACCTTGTTAAAACTGACAGGCTTTTAGAACGGGGCCAGAAGGCAACATGCAAGAAGGAATTAAGTTGCTATCTGCTTGGCAGGGAGAGGTTTTGGAATAGTGAGCACAACCTTGGATATGTTATCTAACACACTAAAACAAACCACTGTGTGAGATGCCACCATACCCTCCTCTGTCCACTCCTTAATCAAAGCACTTAGCTTTGGCCAGCATTTTCACAAAGAACACTTTGGATCTCAAGCAAATCCAGCTGAAAACAAACACTCTATTATGAGCATAATACTCCTTTTCCCAGTATTTCAGTCTTACCTCATAGTCTGGATTAGGAATATTCTCAAGAATCATTTTAGCTTGCTGGAAGTGTTTGCTAGCTGCCATGTAGAGATCTGATGACTGAGGAGGTGGGGTGTACTTATTTAAATCAGACATTTCCTAGCATGTTACAGAAATAGATATTAAAATTAGTTGCCAACAAATTGTATTTTTATCATCTTAAATGAAAGAAAACCAAAAAACCACTATATTCAAGAAAAAAAACTATGTCAACTAAATAATATTTTAAGAATAAGTACTCAAGTTGAAAACATGTATTTAAAATGGCAAACACCAAGCATCATTATGCTGCTTAATCATTACTTTATAGTGCCAAAAAATGCAGTGAGCTTCTCATACTCTCTATAAAACAATTCCTCTTCTGAACAACTTGTCATTCATTTGCTTTAATAGTGCCATGCAGCAGGCTGTGAAATTACAGGAAAAAATAGAAAAAAAAAAGTATATTATAATGTTTACTCAAATCAAGTTTACAGCAAGTGAGATACTGAAACTGTTCAAAAACTTCATTTTTATATAATTTTGATACTTGCAACTTTTTTTTTTTTTTTTCAGATTAGGGATAAAAAATGAGCACATGACCAACACGGAGAGGTCCATGGACTTGGGCTTTTTCAGTTAGACAAGAAAAATGTTGATGGGTAATCTTAATAGCAGCCTAGAACTACTTGAAAGACAGTTATCAGAAGACAAATTTTCTTTGTTAATGGCAGACAATATAACATGGGGGGAGAGGCCACAAATTGTGGCTTCAGCAATTCATACTAGACATTAGGAAAAAAGGTGAATAGTACAGCCCTCAATCAGGTTATCCAAAGCTTAAAAGGCCCAGAAAAGTAATTGGATTAGGTTAACCAAAGAGGTTGGAAAGTCTTCATCCTTTGTTTTTTTCAGACTTTGCTAGACAAAGACACAGCTTATGTGATCTACAACGCTACTTCAAGGAGGAGACTGGGCAAGACAAGCCTCCAATGGTCCATTCCAACCAACACTTCTGTGATTTAAGACTCAGAATTACTTCTGTTTCATTTGCATGTTTTCTTGCTGCAGTAGTAAAAACATGCTGCTATGTAAACCAGAGCCCAAGTCTGTCAATAGACTTTCAAGATATTTTATTTTTATGCAAACCAACACAAGCATCACATAAACCACCATATCAGACCATTTTTTAAATGTCTAAGAGTCTAATTTTATTAAGAATTCAACGCAATATATTTTCCTTGCAGACAACTAAAGCTAGAGTTCCTTGCCATTTTGACTTATACTTCAATACGAACTTTGAGGTATTAAAGGCTCTTTTTCCAAAGAGCCTTTTCCAACAAAGTCTAAAGCAGCTGAGCAAATGACTTTTTATAAAAGCATGAGAGGCACCACATTTCAAGATTACTCACTTTGAACTGCAAGTAGTGCACCGGGGGTGGCGTGATAACACTGTTGAATGGAGCAAACCTGTGCTCATATCGAACTTGTTCACTATCCAGTTCAAACTTAGGTTTTCTTACTTTGCCATCCATGTCAAATGCAATCATTGTCTAAAAAGGAAAGGATAAATACAGTGAAAAGTGTTAGCTTTATGTCCTGTGTTGCTGTGAGGAAGATGAAAGTTACAATTTAGCCATAACTGGAACAACAGAAAAATAGTAGAGAATTTACCATATCACATTATAAGCTTGAACTTAATTTCCAGTCCCACTAAAAACAAAGAAGGCATGCAATGTAGGCTTAATTCCTATTAAAAAAAAAAAAAATGAAGCCATTGTTAAGGAAGTACAAATAAATTACCTTGTACATCCCAGCACACATATTTTGGTATGCTTGACTCATGGTGATCTCTCTGCTGAGAGGCCGAACTGCAAATTCCACATAAAAATATTTTTTAATTCAATGTAAGTACATATATTATTTTCGTATCAAAACAGTTCAAATTTTCAGAAAGTGATATAATGCTCAATTATGTTTTAAAATAATGAAAGAAATTTGAAGCATAAAAAGCATGGGCATGCATTTCTGCTCACCTAGCTCCTGGTTACACAAAATACCTCAAGATATATTTAACAGTCACACGAACACCATTCTGCCTTCAATGAAATAAACTATGCAACACTAAACAATAGTCCAAATTTAAAGCTTGTAGTTAAGAGGCTGGTTTGCTTAGTTCATGGATTTTTAAAAAAATTTAAGACTAAGAGGTTGAAGCATTTTTATCCTAAAAAGGAAGAATTTTATCGTGTTAATATTCCATTAAGCTCCCCTTTAGCTTCCAGTGTTTAACTAGTGCCAAACTGCCCCACACTTGGCACCTTTTAAAAAAGTATATAATACAGTAGTGATTTTCTGAATTTCTAGAGACAAAGGAATTTAGCTGATATGACCTTGAGCTGTTCACATCTAAATGTGTGTTCCCCTTGAAAAGAAGACAAGGATAAACACATAAAAAAAGAAGGAATAGCAAAGAACAAAAGTGAACTTCTTCATGGTGTTCATTTGCAATGCTAATACTAAGATAACTCCAACACAGCACAATCTTCGTAGCCACTTAGGCATGGCAAAGAGGTATCAAATGCTGTTTGGATACTAGTTTTGGAAGCCTGTTTGGTAGCAGGCTTACAGTTCTGACCAGAGAGTCACACTGCTACAGTATAGGACAAGGAAATTCTTATTTTCTCTCACACATATACACCAGAGAAAGCACGAGTTCATAGAGGAGCTTTTGCACAACAGTACTACCACTGAAGCAGAGCAACTCACCACTGTAAAATTAAGAAACATGCTTGAATACCTTCTGAAAGCAAAGGAAATTACAGAAACACACTGGAAATTTAGTCTTTGAATCTAACTACAGTCACAAAAACCATAATTCTGTAGGAATTGTAGACTGTAGAAAGGTAGTATTTTTCAAAGGTAATTGCTCTGTACCTGTAAATTACGTCTCACAGAATCCAACACATAACACAATTGGTGAAGCTGTGAATATAAATGATTTTGGTTTTTCTGAAAGACCTATTTAAAAGTGAGTAAATAAATACATGGGAAATTCTTATGCAGTGACTGACTTTTTTAGTTAAGAAGTTCTACATTCAGCCTTCATAAACCTCAGGACGTTTTCCCTACTCACATCAGTGTTCACTCTATAAATTCTGAATCTTTATTCTACATGGCTGCATGAAGGGGGAAAAAAAAGTCCGAGTTCCACTCTACACATAGATACCTTTTTTCTTTTTCTTTGTTTTCTTACTACTACGGCCTTTCTGTTGTTCCTCCATTATCCTCTCCTCTGCCATTTGAGAGCTGTCAGCACGGCTCAGAGTTGACATCAACCAGGCATAGAGGAACTCTGATAGGTACCTACAGTAAAAACAGGATGTAGCTGTTACATACTACTGTGCAAAACGTATTCATAATGCACACATCCTCATTGAATACCAAGTTATTAGTTCAAAGAACTAATAGCAAAGGACTACTTTTAGGGCAGTTAAAACTCTTTGCTTTGCACGGCTGAAACAGACAGATTAGATTGTGCTGTTTTTTTTGGGGGGGGGGTTTTTTGTTTGTTTTGTTTCTTGTTTTTTTTTAAGCAAGATTCTACAGATTTAACCACAGACAGCTCAAAGTATGCAAGTTTCTTATAGGTTTACTAAGAGAAGCCTAGCTTCTTATTATTCCAAAATCCATGTAAGGTTAGATATTTCTATAACCCTCCCTCCAGCAAATTAAGCATTTTTAAAAAAGACACTATGTTAAAACCTTTTCTACTTTTGTTAAGAATTACTGTTTTGAGAAACAAGATTATTACTGATTTTTTTCAAGCATTAAAAAGGCATGAAAAACAACACAGAAAGGCCAAGCCCACAGAACCATGAGAGCCATATGCAATTTGCTAAGATTTAAAAGAGATGTTTAAGAATTCTTAAAGAGTGATTTCTTAGTAAGCAGAAGCAATTCAAACAAATCTCCAGACTGACTTCAAATAAAAAAGAACAGGGAAAATGAGAGTAGGAATTACAGATCTGGAGCACATGATGAAGAAATAAGACTCCATAAGAAGTCATAATTCAGAAGAAAAATTACTGAAAAATAATTACGAGTTGAATTTGCACATTTTCCCCTCAGAAATTTCCTCTCCTTTTTTTGTTATTCACTTACAGTAAGGGGATAAAGCAGTTGACATTACAGTTCCATGAAGAGTGATTTTACTAAAAAAGGAGGGGGGGGGCAGGGCAGGGCAAAACATGGGTAGGTAAAAAAATACTGTCTGACAGAAAACTTGGTATTACTTAAATAATATTGCCATCTTCTGTTAACTATCTGGAATATTTATCTTCTCACTTAATGCTTAATCCACTAATGAAATATCATAGAAACATAAAGAGATGCTCTGAAGTTCAAGTCATTTGAACCAGTCTAATCTCTCAGAAAGAAGGCTTGCAGCTTACCTAGTAAGAATTTATTGGTAGCTTCACAGAAAAACAAAACAAAACAAACCAACAAAATACCAAAGTATAGAAGCACTTTAAAACAGGAAGGTTTAATATCAAATTTTTAATGCTGAATTAAAAATGAACCATCTAAAATAATTTATCTTTTGGACCAAGCTGTCAACTATGAAAAATAATTAATGTAAATGGAAGTGGGAAAAATAGGACGTATTTTTACTCCACATAGTACAATCATTTTAACTAAAGGCAGATGTCTCTTCATATATGCTTCCAGAATAAGACATTATTTTTACCTGGTGAACTTTCAGATCATAGTCACAACTTAAAACTCTTGGGATCTTTTAAAAGATACAAGAGATCAACAAGATTATTGATTTTGGTACTACAAAGACAGAAAAGAATAAAGGAAATTGCTTTCCTCCTGCATTCTCCTGTCTACCAAAACTGGCATATTTTCATTGCTTGTCATTAGGAGACATTGTTTTAAAAAGCTAAACAGAGAGCAAATTACTATTTCAGAAAAAAAAGTACACTATTTAGTAAGGCTAGAAAAGAGACCAACAGATTTTTTTTTTCTCCACTTGTGATTTTATGAATAGGTAAACTAAGTATTGTCTTGACCAAGCTTGAGATTAAAAAGTCATAGTTGAAGTCCTTCCTTTAAATCTTAGCAGTTACAGCTCTGTGGGAGCATCTCTCCTCCAACTGCTGTCAATAAAGCATCCTCTTACCAATATATGTAGTAATATTCATGCATACTGTAAAGTTCCAACTCAAAGCCACTCAGAAGATACTGTATCATAATACGAAGGTTATGATATAGGACCCAGGTGCCCAAGCAAGCCAAATGTTGCCTTTGAGGTTCCTGCTTCAGTAACATACTATGAAGTGCTGCATCTACTTTCTCTGCCTGTTGAAAAAGAGAGCATAGTAACAGACAGGGGAGGAAGAACATTAAACTGCAACAGCATCCAAGTTCTGCCAGAAATAAAATCTTAACAAAATCTGAATACAAATTGGGTCAGTAAAGCCACGCTCCGGATTAAAAGACAGAAATACACTTTTACAGATACTGCCACCTCTACTGTCTAGAACTATGGAAAGTTATTCACATAAGTAAATTCTGCTGCACAGAGTAAAAATATTCCACATAGTAATACAGCAATAATATCAGTTTTTTTTAATTTAAAATTTTTAGTAAAAAGTATTAATACATAGATTGTTAGCAGTTAAGTGAGCACTGAAACTCAGAACCCATTACAAGCTGTTACTCATTTTGCAATATTGTCAATAATTAGTTCTCCTTAAAAAAAAAAACAAAACAAAACAACAAAAACCTAGCTTCATTGAAAAATTAAATGTATAAGCTTTTCATGCAAGAAACACACTGTGGCCCACCAAAGAAATTAAAATATTGCTAAGCCAAATTCAGTCTTAAAAAGTAACTGCAACAAAAGACACAAAATCTCCCACAGTGTGAATACTGTCAGTAGTCCTGAACAAATCAATCCATATAACCTGTTACAAAGTGAAAAAACAGTGTGTCTCAGCTGCAGTACTGCAACAAACTCTCAACCAAACCATCCTGAGAGAAGCTGGAGCACACAAAATTTCATGCCTCTCCCTGCTGAAGAAATACAGTTGCAGCAAGTGAAAACATACCTTTCCCCGCCATCTTTCACTCCCTACTCAAGAAATGTTCAAAAACAGATGGAGTACTATTTTTAAGAGTTACTATTTAATTTACATATATTTTTTAAAACCATTACAAAATTTTGCAATTCACATCTTACATAGCTATAAGACTGAATTTTCAGACGTGTTTTGTAAATATGGCTCATCCGTCTCTCCCTGGCTACATCTTGCGGATGGACAGTTACAAGCAGGACAGAGACTACAAAGCAGAGGAACTTCCATTAAATTACAGATGTCACAGCAGATTTCCCTGAAGTCTACTTGTTGGACAAAGCTAATCTTAAAAAAAGTGCAGTATCTTTCTGTTCCACAGATCTAACAGAAAGTCTTTGTATGCATCCTACAGACCTTCTTGGCTGCATTTTAGGAATCCCTGTCCTAAAGATTTTAGGGCAAATAGAGGAGTTACTTCATCTAGAATCTAATACCACACGTTCCACTCTAGTAGCAGTAGATCTAGAAAGAAAAGTTTGCTGGCCTGCTGCCTAAGACATTACCTCATCCTGGAGAGTGGCAAATTCCTCAAGAATGTGACCCAGTTTATCTCTCTGACGAGCTCTATTGTGTCCATGGATTTGAATCAGACTACAGAATGGCTGCAAGATACAAAGTGTATGTTTAAATTTTCAACACAACTTTGAAACTACAGGAGTACCACTATGATGTCTGTTTAGGCACCTGTTTTATACATCTGTATTAGGAGGTGGTTTCCTTTGAGGCTCCCTACAGGCAAGCAAGCTCTCAGGAGTGATGCAAGAGCCCTTTCCTCTCTGCATAAGCCAACATGAGACTGAGTGAGGATCCTTTAGGAATCTGATCAGAATAGAATGCTTGAGAGGTATTTATTACGCCTAAATCCATGTGCCCAGGTGGTCAAGGCCAATGGCATTCTGGCTTGTATCAGAAATAGCTTGGCTAGCAGGACTAGGGAAGTGATTGTCCCACTGTACTTGGCTCCGGTGAGGCCGCACCTTGAACACTGTTCAGTTTTGGGCCCGTTCTAGTTTTGCTAGGATAGAGTTATCTTTCTTCTGAGTAGCTAAAATAGCTGTGTTTTAGTTTCAGTGTGGGATTTGTTATGAGAAAAATGTTGATAACAATACTGGTGTTATCAGTTGCCGCTGAAGCTCAAGGCCACCGTGTTTGGCTGGTTCACAGCTGCATTAGGACTGGGAGGGAGAAGCGCAGTGAACAGCAAACCCCCAACTGGCATTTGGATGTGCCAATGAGATATTCCATATCACATCCCGTCATGTCAGTGTATTAACCAGGGCTGACCAGGAGACGGGGGGATTCTCTCAGGGATCGCTCGGGCTCTCGCTCTTCTGGGGTTTGGGTTTTGGGACTTGATCCCTGCTCCGGGATCACTGGCTGGGGACAGGCCGGGCATCGGTTGGCAGGTGGTGAACAACTGCACTGTGCATCACTTATTTGTATATTGTTATTATTATTATTATTATTTTATTTCAATTAGCAAATTGTTTTTATCTCAATCCACGAGTTTTCTCAGTTTTTATCCTTGCAATTCTCTACCCTGCTCCCTGGGGCAGGGGGAGAGTGAGAGAGCAATGGTGTTTGGCTGCGAGCCAAAGGAGTGAAACCACCACAGCCTCTCACTCTTGGAAAGACACTGGGCTGCTGGATCATGTCCAAAGAAGGGACATGAAGCTGGCGAAGGGGCTGGAGCACAACTGTTATGAGGAGCGGAGGGAACTGGGATTGTTTAGTCTGGAGAAGGGGAGGCTGAGGGGAGACCTTATCACTCTCTACAACTACCTGAAAGGAGGGTGTAGAGAGGAGGGAGTTGGTCTCTTCTCCCAAGAAACAAGTGATAGGACAAAAGGAAACGCCTCCCGTTGTGCCAGGTGGGGTTTAGATTGGATATTAGGAAAAAATTCTTCACCTAAAGGGGTGTCAAGCTTTGGAACAGGCTGCCCAGGGAAGTGGTTGAGTCACCATCCGTGGTCTTATTTAAAAGATGTGTAGATGTAGTTCTTAGGGACATGGTTTTAAGGTGAACTTGGCAGTGTCAGGTTAATGGCTGGACTCGATGATCTTAAAGAGTCTTTTCCAACCTAAATGATTCTATGATTTTCTAAATTTTTCACTGTGCTGCACTCAATAACTGAACCTTTTAAAACATTTTTCAAAATTTTTAAACTGGAGAGAATGTAAAAGTAATTTCGTTTTTACTCGTGCTATGCATTTGTTTTGTGACATGAAACTACTCTATAAAGAGACAGTAGCTGCAGATTTCTAATAAAGTGAAATGTTGGTGAAAAATCTGGAAGCACAATACAGGAAACAAACAGCAGTAATTATACTGGCTTTTTAAAAAGTGTTACCATTTCAAGATGGCCAACTTCTGCAATTTTGCCTTCATGTCACATGTTTAAAAAACTGATCTACTTTTTAAACATAAGCAAATCCTGAAAGTGCTCATATACACATAAACATACTGTAATAGGAATGAATGCTTACCCGAACGCAATGTGTCACAAAGGAATCAATGTAGTCCTTTGCTTGGTGATTATTATAAAGACAACACCTAAAAGGGAAATATCCACGTACATACATATGTCAGCAGTTTATGTAGCACAAAATTAAAAAAGACACATGCGTGCAGCAACAGCAGCTGTCTCCTTCATACATAACCACTAGTAAGTACAAAATAAATATGTTTTTTATGTCTATCCTTTCTTTTGTATGCAGAAGTATTTTTTCATCAGACAAGTAAACACATGCAAGTAAAACTCAAGATCCACTTACTTTGGAGAAAGTACTGGAGGACTGACAAAAGATCTTAAAGCATCTTTTACCATGTCTTGCATGAGGTGAGTGCCAAACACCTTCTTGTTATCTACCAGAAAAGTTGTCTGAAAGTCAAAATGTATTTTTAGAAACATGTTTTACCTTAAAAGAAATGCTTTAGAAATTACTACTAGAAAGTCCTTACAGTACCTATATTATATCAGAAACTCGTAAGATTGCTTTAAGAATTACAATGGTTCAGCTAGGCACAAGCTTACAGACTCAAGAGGCATATTGAGACCTATCACTTCTGTGGTATTCCCATGACACAAAATACAGTTCCATTACTTGCATAAGACAATGCAGAATTATTTTATTTCTTGGACTTAAAAGATGATTAATCACACAGGTGTTTCTGCAGGTTAACACAAAATAGGTTATGTGGTTTCCCCGGAGGCAGATAAAGGTAAATCTTCAGAATAATGCAGACTTTTTCCTACATCTATAGATACTACTGCTTCACTGGTCACGTCTGATGCTCATTCCACTTTTCTCCACGAGTGCTATGTCCCTTTCTTACATGGTTCTGCAGCAGCTGGAGAAACAGCTCTGCTGTCAGGAACTCACAGGGATTGCACAAACATATGTAGTGGAAAGTCAGAGCACACATACATTATGAAAACATTTTACTTGCCAATAGCTGTATTGCATTGGCTCTATATGTTTTTTTAATCAGGATCAAATGGAAATCAATTCAAACTATTCAAATCAAAACCTCCTAAAAGAAAGTGTATTTTACTCTGAATTAAGGAGTATATAACATACTTTCAAGGTAAGTGAAGCAGTGAGAAGGAGTAGCCTGTTCTGCCCTAACCATCAGTTTTACTGTTGTAGCAATAGAGGCAGTCTTACACATGAAATTCAGTCCAAAAAGGGAGGATGAATACAAACACCAATCCCAAACTGAGAAAGCATATGGAGAACAGCACAAAAATGCATGTACAGGCCCAGATTTACGGCAGAGAAAAAAATCTTCATGTTTTAATTAGCATGTACTAACATGACCTAAACAACAGTGTTTAAAAACATCTAAAAAAATTAGATCAGAACATAAGCCTCCATATACATAATACTTAAGTATCTCCAGAAAATTTTTACCACTTGTATATTATTATGTGATATGCAAATAATGGAAATATTTGAAACTAAAAGATGAATTTGTATTTATAATGAACACAGAAGTATTTTATTCAAAGACATAGATTAGGACTTGCCTGTAAAAGGGATCTTGAGAGAACACACGGTGATTGCTCACTAAACTCACAGAAAAAATCCTAAGTTACATTTAGAAAAAAAAAAAGACAATTCAGGTGAATATGCCGATTTTTATAAACACACACACATACACACATTCACATTTTTATATACACATTCACATTTTCATTTCACAATTGTGTAAATACACCTATATTTTGTATACACAAACACACAGATAAACATATAGCATAGCTTACCCAAATTGTAAGAAAGTAAGCATGAATAATTTGAACAAAACAGAACATACTGTGAAGCTAAAATCTATTTTTTTCTGCAATTACTTGTTATTTAACAGAACAAAAGGTTCTGAATTTTCTTCTTCTGATGCAACAAATAGAAGGATGATAGCATAGAAAAAAGATACTGTGACGCTATAACTGTACCAGGTAGGTAACCAAACGGCAATGTTTAACTGGTAGCAGATGTTTCATGCAAACACTGCTTTAATTAAATTAACAGGAAACAGGAAGACAAAAATTATTGCTTCATCTTTGAACTGACTCTTTTTTCAGTCAGTGAACATGTGACTGGTAAAAAGTATTTCAAGCATTTAAGTTTTTTCTAATACAAGTAGGCAGTAACTGAAAATAACATCACTTATTCAGGAAAGAACAAAAGCAGGTGCTTAATTTTATGCCTATTCAGGGAATTACACGCTTATCAAACATGTATTAAGTGCTCTCTTGTGTTATAGGCACATGGGCAGAATGCTGCTTACTGAATCTGAAAAAATGAGGAATATAGCAGAGAATTATCACAGAATGGCAGGGGTTGGAAGGAACCTCAGGAGATCATCTAGTCCAACCCC